CCGAAAAGGAAATGAAAGAATGATTTGGGTAAAATCTGCAGATAATTATACTGAAGTGACTTAAACACCAACATTTTCACAATTTTCCAGTCATTTAAAATCAAATAAATGCATTGAGACTTCTTTCAAAAGTCCCACACCTCTGTCTTGCCAGTGTACATTAGTTTTGCATTTGTAAAGTTTGTTTCTGTGTCTGAGTGACTGATTATGTTCTGTCCGTCAACAGTTACCAAGCCGCATGATGAGGTTTTAATAGACGGTTTCTGTGCTATTATTATAACATCATTTTCTATGGAAAGTTATCGAGACTCTAGCCGCGCCGCTCATTATCACTGTGATTTGCATGAAATTATATGCAAATTAAAATATTTTATTACACAGTGAAGGATGGATCTTTTAATTGTTTGCCGGAGTGATGCACGCCACTCAGTGTGTTTAAATAGAGAAAATATCACTGCTGGAGAAAAAAAATAACTGGCATTTTAGAGGGATTTAAAGGAACAAAACAAAATAAAAGCACACAGATAAAGCATGCATACGCCATTTGCTTCACTGGTTTTACTGATGCAATAAGAGGAACACATGGAGACAGCTTTAATGCAATATTAAGCATGTAGAAAGTCCTACCCTAAATGCATGGACGGAAATTACCCTGGAAATGTATAAAATGGAGCACATTACATCATTTGTAAACAATAAAATGCAACAATTAATTAAATTTTGTGGAAAATGTACCAATTTTGTAACATCTCATAGAGCTGAACTGCTTTGTTAGTTTAAAATCTGATGCAATGCAACACTCCCTGCTTTATTTACATCTGATTTGTGTTTTCTTTTATCATTCATTCAATTATTTTCCTTTGGTTTAGTCTCTATTTCAGTGGTCGCCACAATGGAATGAACCACCAATTATTCCAGCATGTGTTTATGCAGTGGATGCCCTTCCAGCTGCAACCCAGTACAGGAAAACACCCATACACACCCATTCACACACATACACTTACACATACAATTTAGTTTAATTCAGCAAAGTAGGGCTCAAGACGTGTTTGGCGTGATTTGTTGAAATTTTCAGACCAGTGCAACAGTAATTTTCAGGTTTTGCACCACATTGTTTAAATAGTAAATCCATTTGCGCTGCTTTGTGGACTCATGTGTGTGTTGGTCTATAAAGGAGGTGTGTTAAGGCGCATTGCTGGTGTGTTGCTATTTTGGGGATCTTAGCTGCTCTAAAGTCCAGCAGAGTGTGTTAGTTATGCACGTAAACACTTACACACTGCTGAACACACACAGGATGAACAGCAACACACAAATATCTTTACAGCTGAAAACAATAACAGGATTAAAATGATCCAGAAATGATGATTTTCTACATATAAACAGCACTGCCTCCATGCCTTCTCCACCTCGGGGGACTTTTTCAGTTTATTCATGAAGATCTGCATATAATGTGGTTATTATCAGCTGTATTATTGATTATATACAGATTTTTATTTGCTTTGATAAACACAAGTGTAGATGTGTCCAGCTGTGGGGTTTTGGAGACGTCTGCATCAGTGAGGCATAAGAACAGGACGTGTGTTTGAATATTACTCAGTTTTCTGACCACACTTCATTATTATTGTTCATTTATTCATCTGCTGGAAAAAAATAAATAAATAAATAAAAACATAATATATAATAAATTGGTCCAAAATATCATACTAAAAATATTTAGAAACATTATTACAATTATTAAACAATTTATGTTACTGTATTTATTTTTACACGTTTATTTAATGTAATATTTTTTGTTTATTTGTTTTCCTTTACATTTTATAATTTTCTTAAATCTTGTATTTTATAAAAATTATTAAATTGTTATCTGAATTAGTTTATATAAATTTATTTTAAACGGCAAATGCACCATGGAGCGTCACAACTGCCTCAAAAGGGAATGTGAGATGAGACTCTGATTGGTTTAATGCAGGTTATGCTCAAAACACACCCAGAACTCATTAAGAGAATAAACACAACCATGTGCCGGAGCACAGAGTGTGTTTATCCATCCTTAAAATAGCAAAAGTGGATTCAGACACCCCTAATGCTTTTGTGTCATGCGCTTTAGACTTGAGCTTAGATTAAAATAGAACCCAGAGAGAGATAAAGAGTGAGAGAGAGAGAGGGAATAAGCTGCTGGAGTGTCAGAACAGAGCTCATTAATATGCATGACCCTTCCAAATATGGTCAATATCAAGAATTACATTCCGGGAGTTTAATGAATCTAAATTAACAATTTAATTAATTGTGTGACTCTCAAAGAGCCAGTAACCAGTTAATTAATAATAAAATAATCTGAATTTTCATAGTTATGTACCATATTTAATTTACAAAATCATCAGAAAGCATTGTTTACATTCCGAATCTTAATCACACTTTATTTAAAGACACACTTCTCACTAGTTATAAACCTTTAACTATAACTTAATTTGCTGCTCATTTAGGTTGTAATTAGGTTTAAGCATTAGGTAGAATATAATAGCATGCAGAATATGTACTTTATAAGTACTAATAGCCAACTACTATCTTAATAATAAGCAGATATGAAGCCACTAATTAAAGTGTTACCAAAATCTTCTTTAGTATGAGGTCATTTGTGGATGGCCAGAGGGAATTAAATTAACAGCCAATCTTATTATTTTTTGGGGGGGGGGGGGGGGGGGGGGGGTTAGTGTTTATATTGCATGGCTTTTTGGATTGCATATGACACCACTGCCTAAAGGAAATGCATGACAATGATGGCACGATCAACTGCATACACTTCTGCATTTTAGGAAGGAATTAAACCACAAAACAAAAACCATGGTTAGAAATCCATTCAACCATTTCCAGGCCGATTTGGATGTGATTTCTTTAGACGACTGCTCTGACAGCATCCAAGCAAACAAAACTCTGGGTTTTGCATCAAGAACTCTAGTGTGACAGAATTCTCGTTTATTTATAAGCTGGAAGCCTGCATCAAACGCTCTGCTCATGTGATATAAGAATCCGATGATTGTGCTGGACTTTATGTAATGCTGGATACTCTGCAAATTATTTTAATGCTGCATTGAAGAGATGGCTAAAGTACTCATGAACTGATAAGAAATCACTATAAACTTGTCATCCGTAATATATCATCTCTTAGACTTTATGGTATCACTATTTATTGATTCCTTGTGTGCTAACTCTTATTTGATGGCTGAAATATTGAAGTAGGATAAGCTTGTGCTGCATGTATTCGGACTGTCACATTGCTGAACTTCACCTCATCTCCACCCCTAGCCCAGGACACTTCAAGACACACACACACTATCTGGCAATTTCGACTTCTGAAGTGAAGTTTAATTTTAAACTAATTTCGAGAGGAGCACGTGCTCATGATTGACCCAGCTGGTCCACATTAGCTAATCATGATCAGAAGGATCCCAAGATCCCAATATATATATCCTCATTTCCTTTCTACAACTATCTTTGTCTGGAAGAAACCCCCCTCCTCCCCTTCTTTCACCTTTATCCAGAATGGGCGGCACGGTGGCACAGTGACTAGCACTGTTGCCTCACAGCAAGAATACCAATGGCGTTGGGTCCTCGCTGAGCCTCTGGTATTTCTGTGTGGAGTTTGCATAATCTCCCCGTGTCCGCGTGGGTTTTCCCCGGGTTCCCCAGTTTCCTCCCACCGTTCAAATATGCTCTATATTATAGATAAAATCAGCCTAAATGTTTTTTCTAATGTCTTACTCTCAGGAAGATCAGCTCGGCCTCAGCAGCGGGTGAGTTTGAGATCAACCTGAGCTCAATTGACCCTTCGCTAAGCCCCGCCCTCCTTAGTTACTGTTGCTATGCCTGTCAACCTTTCGTGCCTGGCACGACTTTTTCAATGTGTGTGCGCCGGTTTCAGACATTGCAAGGGATATTATGTCATTTTTGGCGAACAGGTGAGATATCAGAGAACGCCAGACAAAAACAGACTGCAGTATGTGTTACAGGGGTATATTCACCACATAATAGGCAACTGATTAGAGAATAATTCAATTAAAATTACATTAAATTCAGATATAATTTCCATATTTGATCTCATATTTTTGACTTTTTAAACTCATAATTTCGATTTTGGGATAATTTATACTTTTTAAAGTAATTTCAACCTTTCAGCTCATAATCTCATGGTTTTGAATGAGCACGTCCTAATTTTGACTTTATAAAGTTGCAATTTCAACTTTTTATCTCACAGTTGTATCTTAGTAAGTCATAATTTCAACTTTTTAAGTCAACTTTGATTTAGTAAGTCATCATTTCAACTCTAAGTGATCATTTTTGGCTTTTTAAGTCATTATTCAAACTAGTAACACAATTTTAATCTTTGATCTCGTAATTTTGACTTTTTAAATTCAGAATTTAAAATGTTATTTTTCCATATATTTCCATATTTTATCACATAATTTCGACTTTTTAAACTTGTAATTTCTACTTTTTGATAATATGAAGTCATAATTTCGACTTTTATCTCAATTTTGAATTAGTGCGTCCTAATTTTTTTCTTTTTAATCTCGAAATTTTGACCTTTTTAAGTCAGAATTTCTATTTAGTGAATAATAATGTTGACTTTTTAAAGTAATAAACTTTTTATCTCATGAATTAGATTTGGTAAGTTGTATTTTTGTCTTTATAATGTCAATGTAGACTTTTCCTCTCTTGATTTTGACTTAGTAAGACATACTTTTGCTTTTTTGTAAGTCTTAAAATGGATTTTTTTAAGCCATGATTGTTGTCTTTTCTCATAATTTCAACTTTCTAAATCATTTAGACTTTTTAAGGCATGATTTAAATCATCATTTTTAACATGGTTATAAAGCATTGCACTCTGCATTAGTGTCTGAATTGTTTTCCTATAATCAGAACAGCATGACAAACGCAGAGTTTACATTGAGTTCAGATTCATCAGTTCTCCTCTAGAGCCTGAATCAGGTGTGTTCTCGTACCTGAGAGCGTCGTCTACGCAGAAACCCTTTGATCGGGCGAGACTGGAGAGAAACGTCCTCCTGCTTTTCCCCATCCGCTTTTCCACCAGAAACAGAGTCACATCGCTGAACTTCACATGCTCACCACCCTGAGACGTGGAAACCTCAGCACGCACACGCTTTCGGCTAGGAAGCATCTCCACAGCAGGGCCTAGGGCTTCTGTCAGCGCCTCTCTGACTGTGTTGTTGTGCAAAGCTGCATCTCTTATTTTTCTTTGAGCGACAAAACTGGCAGTTGGTGTGGCGTGTTTGTTTATGGTTTTGGCAAGAGTTTGGAGACTCTTACAACAGGTGCTTTTGATTTGGCACTCGTTCTGATAGGGCACTGCCAAAACTACCGCTAACAGATGGATGGAGAACACTGGGTCACGCAGAAGAAAATATGAGAAATAACATCAGCAACTGGGGGAGAGTTGAATCAATATTGTTGAGCACATACTCACTGGTGCAGCAATGATATATCAGTGAAACCACACTGCTGCCAAAGGGATAGTTCATCCAATAAATGAAATGTACTCACTATTTACTCTTCCTCAAGTGTTTTCGAATGCTTATGAGGTTCTTTCTTCTGTTGAACTCAAAAGAAGACATCATTAAAAGGAAAGTTTGTCCAAAAAACATACTTAAATAGTTCATTTACTCTCAATCAGACCACTGAAGATGTATATTAGGTGACTGTTTTCTTCAGCAGAACATTAGAGAACATTTTAGGCTGAATTCATACAATGTAAGTCAATGGTCTACCGTTTTCAAGAATAATAACAACAACATGTAATCAAATCAACAACCATGGCTTTCTGATGATACATTAAAGTCGTACGAAGGGGAAGAGAAAAAAAAATCGGTCTGTGTAGGAAATTTAACATTATTTACAGTGATATTAGTTTTAAGCCAATGGGTAAACAGAATCATTATTAAATGTGTGGAAGGTTTATTTCCAAAACCTTTACCTTCTCTGTTCACCCGCTTTCAAAGTTATCATTCAATTAAATGGGCATTATCAGGGGTTATCAGCTGATAGATATGGGCCAGTAGGGGCCTTCTGTGCCTACTGGTAGTCTCAGAAGGCTGTTATCATCCATCCACATGGTTAATAACCTATACTAATAGAAAAGACCCCACATCCAGATCTGTTTTTACATTACTGTGATGGTTGGGTTTAGGGTTGTGGTAGACGTTAATGAAATACAATTGATGGGAAATTTAAAAAATTCTATAAATATTTTTGTTAACTTCCGGTCGCAGTGGTGTGTGATCTATAGCTGATTAAACATGAGGATGGATGATAACAGGCTTCTAAGCGCAAAATGCCCCTACTGGCCCATATCTATCAGCTGATGACCACTGATAATGCCTATTCAATCGAGTGATGGCATTTGAATCGGCTGTTCCTATATAGTGGACTTATGATTTATTTATTTTAAGCTTAGCTTAGCTTAGCTTAGCTTTATTTTAAAGGGAATGAATACTTTAGCATTTTTAAAACATTCTTTAGTTGACAGAATTACTCTACAAAAAGTATGGGTAACACTTTATTTTGATGGTCCATTTGAGAACATGTGAACTTACATTATCCCTAACCCCAACCTATGATCTAATGAGAATTAGTTAGCATGTACCAGTTCGAGTTCGGCTCGAACCAGTGACCTTCTTTCTGTAAGGCGAACGTGCTACCCACTGCGCCTCCGTGCAGCCAATAAATGAATAATAATAAAATAAAATATAATACATTTTTAACTTTTACCTAAAGGGCAGCTATGGTGAAAAATCTACTTTTCAAGCTGTTTGGACAGACGTGTGTGTTAGTATAGTGTATACACAGTCATATTGGGGTGATATAAACACACACAGTCCTTTTTTTCAATTTAATAACATAAAAACGGTAGACCAATTGGAGCGTTTTTCAGACCGTTCGTTTCTTCAAGAAACCACTAAAAACTCAACTATTTAGTCTCTACTTCACTTCCTAATCTGCAATTGCCTCTCTGGATATACCACTAACTGTACTTTACTAATTAAAAAAATTACTAATAAAAAAATTACTAATGCTTTCCTTCTTAGACTTTACAGACCTAAAACTCTTGCTCTTATAGTTGTGTAAATTGCTTCCTTGTCCTTATTTGTAAGTCGCTTTGGATAAAAGCGTCTGCTAAATGTCTAGATGTAAATGTAAATGTCAGACCGACCGCAACTTTACGTAGGAGTGCTGGAATCAGCTTCCAGAAATGATCAGATGTGCTCCAACATTAGGCACATTCAAATCAAGACTGAAAACACATCTGTTTAGCTGTGCCTTTACTGAATGAGCACTGTGCTGCGTCTGACAGATTGTTGTTTTTCTCTTCTTCTTCATTCTTTTATATCACATTTTACCTGTTTTTATGTTTTGTTTTGTTTTTACATATTTTTATTATTTGTTTTTATTTTTATTTTACTTGTTTCTTTTATTCTTGTTTATGTAAAGCACTTTGAATTGCCATTGTGTATGAAATGTGCTATATAAATAAACTTGCCTTGCCTTGCCTTGCCTAGGAGTGCTGTCCCCCCGCCCACCAATATTGATTGACAGCCTTGAATCACGATCATATCCTCAGTTTCTTGTTGCACGTCCGCCATTTTCAGCGTCCAATTTTTGATGAAAAGCTCATTGGGCTCAACACAAGATCAATATTCTTATCGGATTCTAATCGGATTTATTGCTTATACCTTTTGCGCGGCGCGGCATGGGTTTCTGTCGGTGTGCACGCGGCAGAGCTTCTGGTCTGCGGCTCAGCCTGGCTTTCTGTAGCGGTGCACGCGGCGGAGCTTCGGGTCAGCGGCTCGGCGTGGGTTTCTGTCGGGGTGCAGGTGGCGGAGCTTGGGGTCAGCGGCTCGGCGTGGGTTTCTGTCGGGGTGCAGGTGGCGGAGCTTGGGGTCAGCGGCTCGGCGTGGGTTTCTGTCGGGGTGCACGCGGCAGAGCTTCTGGTCTGCGGCTCAGCCTGGCTTTCTGTAGCGGTGCACGCGGCGGAGCTTCGGGTCAGCGGCTCGGCGTGGGTTTCTGTCGGGGTGCAGGTGGCGGAGCTTGGGGTCAGCGGCTTGGCGCGGCGCCGTTGTGTTTGCCCTGGTGGAGGCCTGTGTTTGGAGTTCTGGAATGCGTTGCGCGACGATTCAGGACACTTCATGCAGGGGCGCAACTACACATATACTGAGAGGTATGCGGGTTCAAGTTTTGTAACTAAAATAAAATAGTTTTGAACAAAAAAAGTTACCAAAAGGCCTGATGTATCAATATGACACATAATAAATTTATAAAAACATGTATATTGTATAAAATGGATCTTGATAGAAGGATTAAAAACATTTCAGTTCCAAAAAATGTGAATATTCGGACAATTTGTTCATGTGTCAACTTTAACAGGGTTAAGAATCATTATAATCAAGTATATAATATTTATATAGGTGAATTTTTAATCCAAATATTTTATCTGAAATATCGGTTTATGTGAAATAGGTCTGTACTTACATAAACATACATTTTGTGTGATCCCTCTTATTTAGGCAAAATAATTAAATAATTAATAATAAATAAAGAAAAAAATTCAGACTAATCTTATAACTTTTGACCTCAACTGTACTGTATGTATGATTTGACAGTTTTATTTTGATAAAAATTGTAAAAAAAATCTAAAGTTACATTTACATGAACACTTTACACTTGGCTCTGCGACTGCATGTTATTGTGTTGATTTTGAATTAAAATGTGTGTGCCAACGTATGCAACTCATGGTATAATCTTTTATTTATTAAAATACAATATTATACTCATACAAAATGCAAAATAAACATTTTTAACAAGACATATTTATTTATTTATTTTTTTCTTATTTGAAACTTTTAGTAAGGATAATTTCAAAAATAGTTTCGGCACAATGGCGCCCCCCATGTGTGGCGCCCCTATGCGCCGCATATACTGCATACCCCCTTTTTGCGCCACTGACTTCATGTTTCTGCCACTCCACTGAGAGTGTCTGGTGTGCCGTGTCATGGCGCATTCGGTGCTTCAGTCAAAGTTAATTCAGTGTGTGGTTATTAGTCTCAGTGTACAAGCTCGGCACTTGTAAACCGAGACTATATAAAGACACAAATGATTGTGTACTCTCTGCTTGGTCTGTGTCCGACTCGTACATGTACGGCTGAATGCTCATCCTAGCTCAGCTTAGCTTCTCTCTCTCTCTGTCTGTCAGCCTGTCTGTTGCAAACACAGAGCGTGGGAGCTCTTGGCTCCGCCCCCTTGCTACGTTGGGCGGGAAGCCGAAAATGTGAAGCAACAAGCCCCTAAAACAGCAAACTGTGTAAATGTGTAACGCCGGGGAGTGACACTGACAACAGAAGGTAGGATCCAAATGCAGGTTTATTCAAAGTCAGGCAAGCGATAGTCAATTCAGGTGCAAACAGATATATGTAGACAATCCAGAATCGTAATCAAACACAGGCGAGGGGTCAGAAGGCAGGCGGCTAAACAGGAGAACTGGATAAAAAAAGCTAAGATCAAAACACAGGAAACCAAGACCAGGATAATGCGTTGTAATGTCACCTTACAGATAAACAAGACTCGGCAAACTGAAGGAGTGAATGTGTGGCTTAAATAGAGAAAGCAGGTGTGTGGGTGAAGAGCATGTATGAAGTTGAAGTCCATTAACTGGCAGATTTGTAGTTTCATGAGTGAGTGTTTACCAGCGACATCTGGTGGTTTGTTCACTGGTAAACATGACAAAATACCCCCAACATAACACTTTTTAACAAATTATAATAAAAACATCTGAACTGTGTGTTGAACTGAACCTAAACTGGCACACTCAGAACAACCAGAATATTAATATTAAATCTGAAAAAAGGGGTAAACTATGTGCCCTTTAATGTTTACAATACAGGATCCAATTAGATCCACTTATTTGGTAAACAAAGCAAGTCTCTCATATAATTTACTAAAAGACAGAAAATATTACAAACTGTGTTGTATATGAACCATATATTTTAATATTACTATTATTATATCATTAAATATTAGTGAAATATAATATAAATTTACACACATTTACACAAGTAAATATCTAGACCACGAAAAATCTGCGGATTTCTGCACGTGCAGATTCTGTGCGGGTC